TGCATGTTTCACAAGCGCCTAATGTTGCCATATGGCAGAATTTTGGAAAACCTGAATTCCATTTATGATACTCCATACTTTCCTCGTCTCTCGAAAGCATTTCACACTAGTTAATTGCCATAAAATATCAGAAAAAAAGGAAAAAATAATTTCGGCGCTATAATTGGTTAATATAATCTCGGACCTTAAAGTCAATGACGCCAGGGGATCTTCGAATACGGCTGATGAATTCGCCCGCCCAAATCGTATGCAAATGTTATAACATTGATTGATGGGTAAAAACGAAGGGTTCAACCAAAGGGCTTACCTTCGTAAATAATCTGAGAGTGGTTGAAGGTAAATTCCGATCCGTATGACGCCCTTCGGGACCGATCTAGACGTATACGAATCGACTAGCGCTCAGTTAATTTAGCGAGGTATGAGCTGTGGTATGAGTATTCCAATACATTGTAGGAATATTGTTTCAAAACATGCTCTTATTTATAGTTGCAACTGTACAGTGTGTCCAGTTTTCGATGCTTTTGCCTGATATCTCAGTTATCTTTGGAGATAGAACCTTGCGGTTTTCGCGGTCCTGTGCCACTTTTTTGTGAAACTCAAGATGGCCTAATCAGATTTCGCGAGACTGTTTCCGTTTATGAGATACAGGGTGATTTTGAAAATTTATACTTTTTGGACCCCCTCTATATCCACGAAGTTTCTCAACAAAAATGTCAAATGAAAATCTTATCGCATAGAGAATTTCACGCATAATCCAGTGGCGCACTTAAATTTTTTTTTCGGGGTATGGTTTTGGAGATACGACTCAAACTTATGATTTTTTAAATGGAACACCCTGTATTTCATATGCTTATTAAATTCCTCATTTTTTTGTCTTCAAAATGATATATAACGAATGAATATAAAATTCTCAAAATTGCTCAAAATCACTAAAATATTGAATTTTGATAGTTGGTTATGGATTTTTCTTATGAAAAACGTTCCAATTGAAGAAATATTTCTTCAAATTTCAATATATAGTAATAAAAAGTTCATAATGTAGAATAAGCACCTGATTAAATATTTACTAAAATGATTGAATTCCGGAATTATTCAGTAACTCATATATTGACATGTTCAAATTGATATCCATTTTCCCCAACATACAGTTGACAAACTTTCTCAATACTTCTTAATACAGTGAGTGGCCCAACATATTTGAAGAACTTTGTGCAACAACAGAGGCAGTTTTCCAGGAATTTCAAAGACATCTTTCAATGATTATTATGTATTGAGAAAGTTTGTGATGAAAAATTGACATCAATTTGAACAATTCAATGGATAAATCACTGAATAATTTCGAATTTCAATTGTTTCAGTAAATATTCAATCAGGTGCTTATTCTACATTATAAACTTTTCATTACTATATATTTGTGGATATCAGGTATCTGAGTCTTGTGTATTGCAAGTTGATTAGTGTTGAAATTGATATTTCCCCCTTCATGGAACAATCAAAGGAAATATTCCTTCAATTGTAAATTTCTTTATATGAAAATCCCTCGAAAAACCCATAGCCCACTATTAAAATTCAATGTTTTAGTGATTTTTCAACATTTTTGAAGATGTTATATTCATACATTATATATCATTTCGAAGGTAGAAAAATAAGTTATTCAATGAGCCTATAAAATACAGGGTGTTCAATTTAAAAAATCATCAATCAATCAAGTTTGAGTCGTATTTTCAAAACCACACCACGAAAAAAAAATGTTTGTGCGCCACTGAATTCTGCATAAAATTTTCTATGGGTTGAGATTTTAATTTGACATTTTCGCTGATAAACTTCGTAGATATAGAGGGGGTCCAAAAAGTATAAATTTTCAAAATCGCCCTGTATCTCATAAACAGAAACAGTCCTGCAAAATCTGATTAGGCCATCTTGAGTTGCACAAAAAAGTGACAGAGGACCGCGAAAACCGCAAGGTTCTATCTCCAAAGATAACTGAGATATCATGCAAAAGCATCGAAAACTGGACACACTGTACATGATTTCTTCTGGAAAACAATTTTTTGTGTCACTTATGAATTCAGTCATATCACATTTTGATCAAAAATTAAATTTTTTCAAATGGAACCCCCATGAGCCACCTACATGTCCGAGCATACAGTGAAGAAAAAAATGACATATAATTTCTGTATTTCGGTGCAATAACAAATTGTACATCAAAAATCAACGAGTTTCATGAATTTTTTCGTATTTCGAATAATTTTCAAAGTAAGCTGTGGAAAACAACATTTCTGTAGCTTGTCATAAGATAGCACTCTTTCTGACCTGTCGGACTCAAACATGTAAAAATATACAGGGTGTTCCATTCGAAAAAACGAAGTTGCTGGAATTTCCACAAAAACCGGAAATTCGGAACAGGATCAAATTGAGTATGATGACTTTCTAGCATGAAATTGTGAATTATCAGATCAATTCTTCGGATTCCTTACCTCTAATTCCTTTTCATGTGTCGGTTCACAGAACCATTAATATCCACAATATCCACAATATCCCACTCTCCTCTTGTGAACATACTCAAATTAGCTAATTATACAAACTCATTAACTGGTCTCTGACATTCAATAGATTTAGAAAAGTAATTCTGCAACAAATATCATCATACTGATTCATGTAAGGACTATTATATTAATAACACTTCGTACTTCGTATTGCTGTCCCTTACAACTCGATTGAATTTTTTTTGTAATCCTCCGAATCTTTCTATAATAATCAATATTGAACGTATTTCTCTTAATATACAGGGTGTTTCAAAAAAACCTGACCCCTTTGCTAGGGTAGGTAGAACACTGCAAAATAAGTTGGGTTTGCTCAGTGAAAAAATGTCGTAACGGCATCCGTTTTTATGATACAAGGTGTTGAAAAAATGATTTTTGTACACATTTTTCACGATTATGTCGAAACTACTGGCAACATTGTAATGAAATTTTGTATGGATGTTTCTTGGAATCTGACACATCGCATGAATTTGTTTTTATATCTGACCCTCATAGAGGGCGCTAGTTACACGGTTCGCACCAAGTAGATTAGAACATAACTTTTTTTAGGTTAAATTTTTCAATCCAAATATGATATGAGCTTGAACATCATTCAATTTTACACCAAAAAGGTACTCCTGGTGAAACTCGATACTATGTTCCGTTTTCGGAATATTTCGATTGGAAAATAATGGAGTAGTAATGATGCTGGTATGAAATGAATTTTATTGAGTTCGATTACCTATTTATTCAGATTCAAAAACAATGAAATTATTCTTGTCCTGAAGTTATTGATAGAACGAAGTATCATAGGTAAAAAATTCCGAGATATTTGACTAGAAACATAAAATATTGAATCAGTTAGAGTAAGTGTTCAAAATTTCCTACGTTTCGAAGAATTCACGATTCTATATTCTTTTCTTAAGAATGTACTTTTTTTCTAAACAGTTGAGGATCAGCTGTTAGGTCATTTAAGTGATGTTCAATTATGGCTTACAACTCTTGACGTGAATTTACCTATGTAGCATAGACTTTCTGCTCAAGATACAACAAAAATGTGTTATCCATGTTCTTAGTCAAATCTGTTTCGATGTTATTCTTGTGATTCATTGTTGAATCATTGAGTTTAGCATCAGAAATGTATTGTTGTTTTCGATTTTCAATAAATAGGTGATAATTCTTCATGATACACTAATACATAGCTTTATACCAGCAACAGTTATCACTTTATCGTTTTCAAATCGAAATATTCCGAAAACGGAACACAGTATCGAGTTTCACCAAGAGTACCTTTTTGGTGTGAAATTGAATGATGTTCAAGCCTATATCATATATGGATTGAAAAATCTAACCTAAAAAAAAGTTATGTCCTAAACTACTCGGTACGAACCGTGTAACTAGCGCCCTCTATGAGGGTCAGATATAAAAACAAATTCACGCGATGTGTCAGATTCCAAGAAACATCCATACAAAATTTCATCACAATGTTGCCAGTAGTTTCGACATAATCGTGAAAAATGTGTACAAAAATCATTTTTTCAACACCTTGTATCTTGATAACGGATGCCGTTACGAAATTTTTTTACTGAGTTAACCCAACTTATTTTGCAGTGTTCTACCTACCCTAGCAAGGGGGTCAGGTTTCTTTGAAACACCCTGTATAATAGGAACAGAATTCATATAAACATGTATCCTAACTTGCTCCATTTTTGAGATTCAGGATGTTAAAGTTGGAAGTATCAATTGTTTTTATTTATAGCCCCCCTGTATAAACTCTCATGGTGCCAAAATTCAGTATGGTTGGAGACTGAGGAAGCCCTAGACTTTCAAAATAATTGTAATTGGGTTTATTGAGTAATCTCAATGGAAGTCTTGAAAACACCTACATTAAAATTTTGAGTCAAATCGAATTTTAATTGTTTCCTCAAAAACTGTGCTTGATACTAAAATCATACAAATGATGAAAAAGTTGTCATTTCAATAGTTCAATCTAATAAACCGGTGGCGTACAATGACATTCACCATTAATATCGATAAATTCACCCTCTGTGACGCCACTGGAAATATTATTTCGAATCTGATCGCACCAGAATATACGCTTCACTATCAACACAATCAAAACGTTTTATTGAAATTGCTGAAAAGACAATTGAGTAATGAATGAAAAAACGATTTTTCATGAAAAGATTAATACCCTGTATCTCGAAAACGAAGCATGTTCATATGAACTTTATTTCCTAAAATATCACCCTTCGAATTTTTTTGGTGTTATTCTGATTCACCCTGTATATTCATGTAATTAGGCCAATAGGCCTGTGTGAATATAAATACCCTGTGTCACCCGGCATAGTATACAGGGTGTATCCGAATGAAATGGAACAGAAAAAAACCTAATGAAATGAAAGAGTAGGTGGAAGTTTGAAAAAAAAATTTGGAAAATCACCCTGATAGAGTAATGATGAAAGTGGTGGAACTCACCCTTCGAATAACGGGTGATAGTGCGACAGTCCGTGCTTCAACTGTACGTACAGCTCTGAACAAAAAACGACGAAGGACGGGTCGTACTCCTCTGACGTCATGATGGAGGCTCTCAACACAGAGAACCATTCCGGGGTTCCTCTCCTTAATGTCGCCACTATTTCGCCTCTGATCTCTTTGTTGAAGGGACAACACTTCCAGAATGATTTCTGGAAATCATGGAAATACTATTTGTAGAACCAAGCGAAATGGTTAGATTATAATAGATTGAATAAATGAAAATATATCCATATCAGGATAGGAACTAAAACGGTATAATCAAATTTTCCGTGGAAAACATGTTTAGAAATTAAATGTATTTTAGGTTATTTGACATGTATAAATGTTTTTTTTTTCATTTCTTCACTTGTTTTTATAAACGAGCTGATGAAAATAAGTTATGGATGTGAGAATTTATGAATGTGTGACAAATATGCTTCATCATCGGCATGTATTTGTATTTTATCGAATGGCATCTGTGCAAATCACTTTCCTGAGCATTGAGCATCCCTAAAAAAATCATGATATTTCTGTAAAGAGAATCTTTAAAATACCATATCATTTAGTATGAGGTTAGGATCAGATGAATTTTTACATGCCAACTCATAATCATTCAACCCCAAACAATCATTCCAAATAACCCCAAACCTGGGGTTATTTGGAATGATTCATTACCTTTTGTACTCCGAAATTTTCATTTCAGTCTATTGCATTGATAAACATCTCACCGATAGCATTGAAACAGATTGATAATTAAAATTTGTTAATAATACTACGATTTGAAATCGATAAAATTTTATCCGAAAAGCCTCATTTAACGGTACTTCAACAAAATATAAAACAACATGGAAATAAACAACGTGTTACCGCCCTTTGTCGGCTTTGTTCCGGCTTTCGGCATTAGTTTATCATTAATGTTGTTTTGGCTATATTAGGTATATATTAGGTATACAGTATAAGTACTGAGACAATTTTAAGAAACAAAGTTCATATAAACTTGTGTCTGGAAATGCTCCGTTCCGGAGATCCCTAGAGATTGTTGAAATTGAATTTTTTTGTTCGTTTCCTAAATATAACTTTTATTTCTGACAGTGACATTATAAGCTTATATCGTCATAGTTACGATATCTATAATGAGGGTCATAACTCCCTTGGGATGTTATAGATGCTATAATTCCCTCTAGCTAAAATTAAATAAGAAATGCATAGCAACAACCACGCAATAACGTAGCAATAAGGAATCTCCTATTCGTGGTAGTCAAGATCATCATCTGACGTTCTGATGACATTGAAACTATACGGAAAAACATGTCTAACTTCCAATCGGGAAAGTATCTAATGAATGAAATCAGTCAGAAATAAAATTATCTATGTATTAAGGGAATTATAGAGCCTTAATAACCTTTGGCAATTGCTGTCTCTCGGGCCAGAGGCCCTCGGGACGCAAACTTTGCCATCGATAATTGAGGCCCTCATAATTCCCTTAGTACATAAATAACTATTTTGCACGAAATTTAGTCCCAAGGGTATTTTTGACGTGATAAATTATAATTTCGTATCGATATCCATGTAAAATCTAGAGGCCGCTGCGTACGCTGTCATTATTTATTTCAAATTGCCCCAATGTTTTTGAAAGTAAATTTTTGGTACTTTTCATGGACAAATCTCGTTCCCACATCTTTTTCAAGTAAAAAGGGTTCACTTCCTCAACAACGCTGGAGGTGATTGTCTTCGAGATATTTACAATAATTTTCAAGTTGATCACATCTAAATAAACTACTTTTCTTCCATCAAATGTTTATCGGAAATTGATTTGTCTTCTGTATTCCAACACATTGTATCTCCGAAATAAAGCATTTCCGTACACAAGTTTACAGGATTTTTTTTTGTCAAATTGTATCTGGAATACGTCACTTGAATATTCCAACGTACCTATGTTACACCCTGTATGGGTTTCAACTATATTATATTATGTTGATGGGTGTTAAATATGGGCTTCCGTGATTATTGGATTTTGTTCGTTGAAATCAAAATTAGGAGTGATTTTTCATTTCATATTCGTATTTCATTTTGTATCTATGTTCGATTTTCGTTATTTTCTAACACTATACTGTTAATGAGCAATATCTCAACGTCATTTCCACATATTTTGAAAAATTGAACAACAATTGTATAAAGCTATCCACTAAACATGTAATGAAACATCAAAAATCATATGAAACCAATACTTTTGATTACTGAAACACTTACGGAATTTGTTTAACTTCATTGTGATATTATAATCACTGATTTAATCATCAAATCTTATATCTCATCTTACTGTACTTAGCTGTTATAGAAAAAAACTTTGAGCTCGCACTCACAATTGATTCTAAAACAACCTTAAATATTGGTCATCAGAATATTCTGTGGATCCTACGAAATATTCATATTATCTAGTGAATATTCTATGAACATCTCTTTAGTGTAGGTATATTATGAGGATACTCTCAGCATACCTTGGACATTTCAATGGACTGTTGTAATAATGATTATTCTCATGGTCCACAGCAGAATGTTCAGAAAAATATAGATATTCAATTGGGGTTTAGAGAATGTTTGAACATTTGAAAATTAATATTTCTAAAATCAAGTATACAATCCTCAACTCTCGAGTTCAACTGATAGTCGAACTAACAGGTACATTCCTGATTATTTTATCGTATTATATATAATTTTTTTCGTTCCAGGTTTTTATGCAGTGCAATGCCTATAAGCCGTAGCACCGTTGAAATCGGATACATTTTGATATCTCCTCAATTGACTTATAAATTATTATGAAATAGTGCTACGTATAATTTATTTATACCATGAAATATGGAATGTTCCTTTACTTTTCATTATATGTTGCCTGCATGCAGTAACCTTAACAAAATATCACAATAGGATTGCATTTTTTGTTCTTTGAATATGAAATGTTACTGTTATTCAACTTTGCTGGAATGAATCATTCGCGAACATCACATTCATAATATTGCTGAAAGTCTGTTTCAGTAGTTGATGCGACCTTGCAGTAAGATAGCGACAATATCTGATGCAACATTATACATAACATTGAAATACTGCTGCAATATTGTCGAAATATTACTTTGCTTAGTGGGTAACCATGATAATAGTTCAGAAGAGCATTTTGATACGTCTTCCAATAGCTAAGTCCTCATCCTGAGAAGGGAAATTCTGGCACTTCTGACAATTAATCAGGTAATTTCGGTTATATGGCTAATCAACTTCACAACAAAACTATACACAGCTTGAGTTCTCTCGGTATAATTATATATAAAAGATAATTATCTTTACCATATTAGACATATATGCCAGGCACCTCAAGGTATACTCTAATCTCGTCAATGAAGCTGCATGTAGGGCAGGAAACAGTTGACGGTGATGCCTCAGTTCGTGAAGCCATCTTTCTGCAAAAATTCGAATAATTCAAGTTATGTCGCGTCTCATTCGCAATATGAAAATTTAATCCCCACAACGCCTAGAAAAGCCCACAGAGTCATAAATAAAACATCCACACTCGGCAGAGATTTGAAAAATATATAAGTATCGTATCAGTATGCTCAACAACGCATTTCCCCAGAGACGAATGCAAATAATATTGGTTATCGAACATGTGAACAAGGAGAATGTCTAATGGCAAAAAAACCATAATAATGTTTGAAGCTACATTTGGTATCGATCCAGAGGGTGACCACTGATGCTGAACCTGTCCCAATGATCTCATTTATTTATTTATTTATTTATTTATTTATTTATTTATTTATTTATTTATTTATTTATTTATTTATTTATTTATACATAATACATCCAACAGGCCGGAGCCCAATTACAGGAGTATATAATAATAATAGTTATAATAAGAATAATAATTACAATGAACCAATGTAGGTGAACAAATGAAAATATATATCTAGTTCGGAATAAGAGTGTACAATTGCTTTCTGAACTGGGTTAAATTTGAAAAAAATATATCTACAGACGGCACATTATTGAGGCTTCTACACATAGATGTGATAGGACTATTGAGGTGATGTTGTGAATTTGGAACATCGATTCGGAAAGTCAGGTTTGATCTTGAAGTGATACGGGGTATGTTGAAACTCAGTGTGGATAAAAGGGACGCCGAATCTATTTGATTACCTATTTATTAATTTATATGCAAATATCATGTCTGCTATTTCACGTCGTTTTTTCAAGCTAACGAATGCAAATTCTTCTAGTAACAAATCGTAATCGCAGTGACGTTCAGGATAAATATTATATTTTTTGAAAAACAAAAATTTGAGAAATTTTTTTTGTACTGTTTCCAATGCTTGTATGTGTTTAACTTGGCTTGGGTTCCATACCGCACTGCAGTATTCAAGCTTGCTACGTACAATGCAGTAGTAAATAGAACAAAGAGCTCTAAGATTCGTAAATTCTTTACAATTACGTATGAGGAAACCTAGAGCCCTATTGGCATTGGATTTAATTTTTTCAATATGTAAATTGAATATTAATTTGCTGTCAAATATAACTCCCAGATCTGTACATTCGTTTACCCTGCGTAGTTTACCATCTTCGATGAAATATTCGAATAAAAATGTAGACACTTTTCTAGAGTAGCTCATAATTTTGCATTTCTCAATATTCAGGGGTAAATTATTTTCAGAACACCACTTGAAAAGAAGATTCAGATCGTTTTGCAGACGCAAACAATCTGCAATATCTGTAATTTCTGTGAAAATTTTCATGTCATCTGCAAACAAGAGTTTGCTTGATTCAATTGAAATGCATATATCATTTATAAATAAGAGGAATAGAAGAGGCCCCAGATTCGATCCTTGAGGTACTCCTGAATGAGCTATGAAGTTGACGGATTGTACACCTTCATAGTCGACGAATAAATTCCTATCACTGAGGTACGATTTCAATAGTAATTGGATATTAGGGGGTATACCGAAGTTACCCAATTTTTGTAAAAGTTGTTTGTGAGAAACTTTGTCGAAGGCTTTGCTGAAATCAGTATAAACAACATCTACTTGATGACGACTATCGAGTGAGTTTGATACATACTGAGTGAACGTGCATAGGTTTGAGACTTTGCTTCGAGATTTCATAAATACATGTTGGAACTAATGATTCCATTATGGTGATTTCATAAGATTTCAACCCAAATGACATTATCAGTTTTATTGTTAGCTACAGGAGGTTGTTACAGCCTATTTTAAAGCCTTTTCAAAACTATTATACTAATATCATCAAAACAATAAAACAGCCTTCTCAAAACATAAAGGGCCCACCATTATAAAAGTTGTCACAGCTTCACTCAAAACGTGTCATAAATCTAAAAGGCATTCAATGTAGTATGCCTCAAAGCAATAATAAAACCAATCAAGGCCGCTTCCTTTGAAGCCTTTTAGCACGAGTTCAAACCTATATGCTTCAAAGCGATATTTCTTATGGAAACATTAAAACACATATTGGCTAGAATTATAACCTTATCAGTCGCAGTGAGCATTTGTTAAGATAATATAGTCCGTAACGTGTTATATAGGAGTATTTTCTCCGAACAAATCGAATATAATACGAACATGTCAAAATGAAGTAAAAACAATGAATAGTTATAAAAGAGAGTAAACCTACCTCCCTAGGAACGCACGTTCTTTGAACACTATAGGAATTCCCTTTCGTGCGCTCTGAGCGATAAAAAAAACATGGCGGTATGATGTGATAATTCCCTACTGTATCGAATAGTATTTTTTGTGAGGATTGAGGCTGTAAAATGAAAACGATGACGACTTTTTTGATGGAAACATATACCTACCATCAGATTTGCTTCAAAAAAAGAAGCGCTCTAAAAATATTGTGTTTTCACCAGATAGAATTGGATGTGAATTTTAATAGCTCATCAAAAGAGTTGACAAAACTGTATGAATGTTTGCTGAATATGGGTGAGTCGTCTGAAAAATGTGGAAAAACAACATTTTCGACAGCAGTATCAATGCATCTTTTTTATTTTCCGTGAAACTCTCATTTCCATCAATGGCCGACATCTGTTTGTAGAAAATGTGTCGCAAAATATAATTAAAACTAATTTTCTTCCTCTAATGCTTCATTAGCACCTTTAGGTAATTATAAGGCATTTTATGAGACGATATCCTCGAAGTACCACTCATTGCATATTCAAATCCATTCTTATGACTATTTGTTGCTGAGTATGACAACAAAGCTTTGAAAACGATAAAATTGATATAAGAAGGATATAAGATAATGCCTTTATAAAACTATAAAGCTTTAAGAATATCCTGGCTAGTGCTCATTAGGCAGTGTGGCAAAGAGTAAAAGAACGTCATCAATATGATCAACATAACCCTATACTTTTGTAATTTACAGTGTTCAGTTTGTGAATTTTGTGATTGGTTTTCAGTAGGAAACTGAGTAGGAAACATAGACAAACTACAATCAGTGCAGTTTGCCTGATATTGTGTTGAATGCTCCATTCTCTTAAATTCTTGCAAAACTCGCCATCTAACATAATTTGTGCAAAACTGTTGTCATCCTCCTCGCTTCCTAGTTACCATTCAGATATATCAGAAGTATTTTCCATAACGTTCTGACTCGTTGATGGCACTTCATGAACATGTGGACGTGAGTCGATATAGGGTTTAACGCAGTTCTAAAAAAAAACCTGATGAATCATATAGATTTTATGATTGACTTCGATGAATTAATTGTGGCTTATAGGTTTTAATAATTACTTTCACATAGCTACAACAATGCCATTTGGTTTCATCATTGCCTCAGTTGAATCCCTAGCGTGAATTTGATTTCATGTTTGATTTATGGGGTATTTTCATAGGATTTCATAGTTCAAAAACCTCTTGGTCAAATTCGAGACTATAATGAGACTTGAGTGATTAAAGTGGGTTCTTAAAACCGAAGTGAGCTGAATGCCCAATTGTTTTATGCGATAGTTCCATTATAGTATCTCAAAACCTTTTAATAGGATTATATGGACATGAAGGCCAATTTGCTTCCTCCAGGGCATTCATAAAACGGTAGAACAAATTAGACCTATCATTTGCGCTCACATTACCTCTCTAAAGTCTCATCGAAAGCTATCAGGCATTTAAAATGTTACTTGGGAAGGAATTCCATTGATTTCATGTTGATTATATGATGATTTCATGAGATTTCATATGATTTCATGGTGATTACATGATGATTACATGATGATTTCATGGGATTTCATATGATTTCATGATGATTACATGATGATTACATGATGATTACATGATGATTACATGAAATAGGTTATATCTGTGCGTGAGTTCTACCATGAAATATTTGTTTGTTTCATGACGAATAATAACAAATCTTAGTACACCATTGAAAGCCATTATCATGGAAATTATAATTAAATTATATCCGACTATTTCTCATTGAAATTCGAATCATTAAAAACATTTCTAGCAAAGCAACAGCCGTGAGACAACGATAATTTCCGTCATGAAATCAGTCACGACGAATATAATGACGTCATAATATTTTTCATGACAGCTATTCATACCTTTTTCATACCATTTGATGTGAAATCGCAACACGAACATCTTTTATCCCAACATCCATATTGATATTCGTAACGGTTTTTTTTTCTTAAAAGAATTGAAACCAGAATGAAAGCAAACATCAGAAATAGTTATGCTATAGTAATTTACTTTTCCGTCGACCTCGTATTAACGACTAAGTTCAATGTATATGAAATCGTTCATTAATGACCTCTTTTAATGAAGGATACGTCTATTTTAATGCACGATTGTTTTATAGGCAACCAAACATACACCGCGTGCATTCATTGTTTATGCTATAGCTTATATGGAATCTGCATTTAAATCAAAAATATGGATTTCATCGAAGATTTTTCGTTAACGATTTGGCATTACCAAGTTTCTGACACGATTTTAATCCCTGTTTTCTAACACAAGGAATTTATTTTCTATGTTGATCATTTCGACAAATGTCAAATGTCACTAATGTCAGTAACAAGGCTAACTGGGTGATTCTTAGCAGTTTCCGGATGGATGATGAATTCGCGAACCAAGTTTTCTTCATTGCAGGAGAAATGAGAAATATAGTCGACGGAAAAATTTTGTAACCAACTTGTATATTGAAAGGCGATAAATGATCTCGAACATTAACGCACTCGCTTCGCTCGCACGTTAAAATATCTCGATCATTAATCGCCCTCATTAATACACTAGTTGGTTAAATAACTATTTCCGTCGACCTCGTATTAACGACTAAGTTCAATGTATATGAAATCGTTCATTAATGACCCCTTTTAATGAAGGATACGTCTATTTTAATGCACGATTGTTTTATAGGCAACCAAACATACACCGCGTGCATTCATTGTTTATGCTAT